GTAAAGGGTCGTCATTCTGTGCTGGTGGGCGACCTATACATTGTCTAACTACGAGTTAAATAAGTCAAGCCTGGAAGCGTTGATGCAAAAGCTACCCTCTGCCATGGCAAGCGATATCCTTCCTCAAAACAACGTAAGTGTTAGCTTCCTCGACTACGGCGGAGTGGCCCTACAGGAACTCATAATATGGGATAGGTCGAAAAGTACCTCTATATCTGAGGGACTTTCAAGCTTTGAAATCTTCCACAAAGTCATGGTATATCCATGTGCGGAAACCCCAGAGGACAGTCTCCACCAATCAGGGACAAAAAACATCCAAAATGATTTTTGGTCTTTTTCCAGAACAGTTCAATTAAAGTGTCGCAGGACTTTTCGAACAATCTAATAAAATTAAAGGATATAGAAACATTACTAATATAGAAAATCCTCGCATGTACACTGGTAATCATCCCTTCTTTTTACACTCAGAATAACAAAAAGGATTAACAGAGGAAAAAGAAACAACAAAAGAAAGAAAGGAAACACATATGACAACATCTTAGAAGAGATTACCAACAACAGCGGAACACTTAATAACATACAATACTACAGACTATTCAAGAGTCTACGAAAACAAGGAATTAACAAAATAATCAACTCATCCATGTCTACAGACTTCTTACAGACAATAAATAACAAGGGCAGGTTGTTGATATTTTGCTTGCTAGCACATTCTCTGACACTGACACGAAAGAAACTTACAAAAAAACTTCCACAATGTGGAGGTCAGCTTCAAGAGCAGAATATTAAATGAAATCCCCTTTAATAGGATCTTCAATTCACGTGCTGTCAAAAGATCCTATTTGCGACATTAGCACTGATGAATTCACACAGTTCAGAATCATATATAAATATCACAACACAATGGAGTATGCAACTATAATGAGGTACTGAAAGATCTCGCCAGTGAAAAACTGGAACAGACTACCAATAATGATTGTATATGTAGTGAACGTACACTGAAAGAATAGATTGATGGAGAATATGGTCATACCATAACATGCAATCTAAATCTAATAAAAGAAGAGATCTTCAGGTCAGTTCTGAAGAAAGGGACCAAATATAGAATAAACATCGGCACAGCAAGAAGAGAAGTTAAAACAGTTATGAAGAAACACTTTCCGAAGTTATAAATTACTATAAAAGTAAAAATAAAGCTAACATTCGATTCCAATCGATTGCAAAAATATCTACACTCGTGTTACCAGAGCAAAGTTAAACCTCTGCTAACAAAAGCTAACAATATAGGTATAGGAGACTACACACCCTATAACCTAACCAAACAATATCAAGACAAATACTTTTTTGTCCTCCTGACAAAGCGAACTACGGCATTATTTGCAAGAAGTTCTATCTTATTAATAAGAAAGAAATGGGCACTGAATATGGCGCTTTAAGTCGCACATTTGTTTATGGAAACAGTAATAGTACATATGAACTCATGCCACGAAGGAACAGATATTCATTGGTATTCAAGCATAAAATATTTTGTGTTGAAAACAAGATTAATATAAACGTAGACGCAGATCTACGCCCTGCCAAAACTACCTAAGAATCCAATCAAGTTTAGGTACATTACAGGATATTTAGAACCACTTTATCAATAACGGTGAAGTAATACAGAATCGTAATAGAACAATCAAAACATATTGGTCCACAAGTAATATCAGTATAAGCTAGGAACTTTGCAACATTCCGTTTGACAATCTCAAAATTTACGCTGCCGATTTCACGGATATGCTGACAAACTTAGAACATGAACTCATCATTAAGAACATGCAAGAACTTCTGAGCATCTGCTTTCGAAAGCCAGCAAATCGTTGATTTCAACTAAAGGTTACCATGTTTTTACACTGATGGTAAAGAAATTAAGAGCTACAAATATTACAAACGCAGCGATTTAATATACCTGACCGACTACTTATTACGTAATAATTTTTTATCTTTTTGCTAACAGCATCTTTAAACAAAGTAAAGGTGTTCCACAAGGAGGCAACTTCAGTCCGCTGCTGGCAGATCTTACGTTCTCTGTCATGGAGTATAATTATGCAATCAATTAAGTTCAGTGGCAAGCTGTTCATCCCATACAGATATGCGGATGATTTGCTTGTGGTGCATAACCGAGATGAACACACCTTTGAAGGGAAACTGACAGAAGTCAATAAGATAACACTTCAGCTCAAGAAAACTTATATAAGTGACATATCTAGAAATTATTTGGATTTAATACTTAGCATAGTAAATGGAAAGACTGGCATTAAGTTGTATAATAAAACGGATGACTTTAGCTCCAAGGTTATTAGATTCGCATACAGTGATACAAACATTCCTCTCAACAGTAAAGCTTCTGTTATACAAAGAGAAGCTCTAACAAGGAAGGTCTTTCAGGTCGTGGCGCGCTTTTTGAAATGGTTTGCTGCTTGTTGCAGAGGTCCATACAAGGATCTTAAAAATGGGTTTCATTTTTGCTATGCATGTCTGGGGAGGTCAAAAACTGAGTGAAAAAAATTTGACAAGCACGGGCGATTTTAACTATCTTAATGGGCTCCGTTCTGATTGTATTTTCGAGTAAGCATAGTTTATGAGGTGCTCGTTAATGAGGCTTCGGAAAATAATTTTAAAGAAAGTCAAAATGTAAGTATCATGTAGTAACACACTGGGCATGCACCTACACAACAGTGATGTTTTTGTCAGCGGTTCCCTCATGCTCACTGTCGGCGGATCGCATGGCGTAGCGGATAACTCAATGGATTCTGGATGGGACCACCATACGATACTTCTTTAAAACTATTTTCGAAGCCTGATTAACGAGCACTTCATAAACTATGCATGGTTACAATCAGAGCGGAGCCCATTAAGTTGTTGAATCGCCCACTCTTGTCAAATTCTTTTCACTCAGTTTTTGACCTCCGCAGAAACGCATAGCGAAAATGGGATCCATTTTTAAGATCCTTGTATGGACCCCTACAACAAGCAACAAACTATATTCGAAAAGCGCGCCACCTGAGAGACCTCCCTTGTGAGATTAGCCAACACTTGCTCGTTTTTTGATACATTTGTAAATTAACGAATACGATTCGTACACTTTTCAGCAATGGCTACAAGGAATACTTTATTATAAGTAGTATTGTTAAATTTGCTTATAAAAACAAGTTTATACGTCACAAATATTCAATTGCAAAGAATTACAAAAAGATAAGTAAACTGGTCAAGGGTATTCTCACTGGCAGTGATCGTTTGTACTAACTCGTTTTTCATTTTCCTTTTAATTTTCGTCAGAAGCGATAATATATAGTTAGACTCGCTTCCTTTTCTTTTGCAAGTAGGCACACATCATCTGATTTTAATACCATTCTTCTTCTAAACTTCTTCTTAGTGCATGTTTTTGCATGAGAGTCTCGCGTCATTTTTCTTCAATCTTTTTGTCAATTACCTCCCCACTGTTGTCCAAATTCCATCTATCCTATCTCACTGACGAGTCCCGAGGTAGACGGAATTACAGAGGTTTGTCCGAGATAAGGGGCGGAACAAACCATTGTTTTGTCGTGGTTTTACTACCCATGTGTATTTCTTCTTCTAATTATGTGCAGTATATAAAAAGGTTTGTTTCGTCCCTTACCTCAGACAAACCATTGTAATTCCGTCCGAAGCGGAAGCGGTGTAGTGACAAGTGGCGCGCTTACCACTCGCGCGGCGCCGGGTTCAAGTCCCAGGTCGACTCCCGCCCAGGCCAACCAAGCCTTCTACCCTCCAGGGGCGATAGATATGTACCAGATTCGTCTGGGAGGATAAAACACTGACTTGTACATTGGCTGGCCACCGCAAGTCATTGTATAGGCCACATCGCCTTCAGTAAGCCACTACGATTCTGAATGGAAGTAGAATGAGTGCCGCATCCCAAAAGGGACTGATTAACGGCGAAGACTTTATCCTTTTCTATTCTTTATATGCCCCCCCCCGACCTTACCGCTTGCCCACTCGACAGCAAAATTTTCGGGTAAAAGTAGGAAATTTGCGGAAAATCCTGGAAAAAGTGGTAGGAATTTGGGAAAATCTAGGAAAGTGGTGAGTAGGATGTAGGATGGTGGGAGAAGAACGGGGGGGGGGAGGGTAGAGGGGGTCGTATTCAGAGTCCCATCAAGCCACCTAGAGATGGTTCGTACCATCCATCTCTCCGCCCTCAAAGAAGGGGGGGGGAGGGTCGTACGGACTTGACCAAAATCCCCAAACAATGTTGTGCCGTGACTCTACGACTGTACACATGACGATTTTCTTGCTTTTTAGTCCTACAGCTTCGTTTTCCACTGAAAGGCGGGCCTTGAAGGCGGAGTCCGGCGGCGGAATCACTAGAAAAAAGGAGGTTCACTGAACCTATATTGCGCCATAACGTACCCCCACCCCTCTTACAATTTTTTGCAGTAAAACCGCTACAGGGTTGTTCGTCGCGGACCACCCTACCATATCATATCTTTAACTTCTATACCTAATCGCGGACCGTGCCTTTAAGCTTTGTGAGCATCCTTAAAGCCATAATATCCCCCTTCGCAAAAACCGCAAAGAAAAATCTCACTTAATCAGGGATTGTGTCTCTGAGGTTAATGTTTTTTTACACTTTTCTAGAGCAATTTGTTCAAAGTATCGCAAGATTTCTTCCCAACTTAATTAATTTAATCTGTACTCATACTGAAAGCATGAAAAAAAGAAAAGCAAATACTTCGAAGTTGAACCCTTGACGTCGTTCTTATGAGCTGATGTATCCATCCACTAAACCACCAAGAGTGACGAAGTGATCTAATGACCCTGCTTGATGAGCTCCTTTTAAACACATGCGGCAGGCAACCTCTTTTTTTCCTTTTTTCTTTCAATTTAGGATTGGATTTGATTACCATGTGACAAACAGCACTTCAGTCTGTGTGTAGTCTGTTTCGTAGAAATTCTGGGATTTCTATCAAAAAAAAGGGTCAATTGAGAGCTGCCCCCTTTCTCTCAGAATAGGTGGCATCGATGAGTGTGACTGTACAAGGTGTCAAGAGAGTAAGGAAAAGTATTCTAGAGAGAAATCGGAAAAAAACGGAAGTTGAGAGAAATATGCACGTCCTTACCCGCCATGCGATTCCCTTTCCAGGAATGACAATCATCTTCGAGGTGAAAGCTTGCGAATCAAACTCCGTGACTCTCAAGGATGAAAGGGTAATTTGCATCTGAAAACAGAGAGACACTCCATAAAATTTGTGATCTGTAAAGTTGAACCAGAAGTTACACAGATCCACACGAATTCAAAAATTGCTCCCAAGAACTGGCGATAACAGAGGGATATGACGAAGTATATCCTAGTTTCATCTCTTACTCCATCACTCCAACTCTGCCCCTCCCTTTGCTGTCTTCGACTTCCCCACGTTTCCATGGAAAGAACGATACCAACGTCAGATGACACTGGAGCTGAGATGTTGAAGACGAGCTCTCCAACGCCCAGAAATCGTTTAACTCGATCACCAAGATAGCCAGCCATCAGATCGAAGCCCTAGAAAAATAGACAGCAGCAAGTGGTAAGCTTGAAATCGCCAATGTATTTACAAACAATCTTTCACAAGTCCACAAGAAATAGAAAAACCTTTTGATTAATTCGCGATATGAATCCAGCATTCGATCCGGGTTCGGCAAGTTGACCATCTGAAAAAAAACGTCACATATGACGACTTAGCACGGACACACTTTAAGGTATGTTCAAGTTTAGGATGACGTCATCGCCCATAATTTTGAGCTAGTAAAAATGACTCATATAAAGGTGGACGTACTGGCGACATTCTGTGCTCTAATAGAACCGGCCAGTAACCCCAAGAATAACCGAATACGCATCGTTGGACGGTTAGTCCCTGAAAGTAATGGTTTCGAGGCGTTAAAACTCATAGAGTGATGGCAGTTTGTTCCAATACGGTACAATCTATTAGGGTGTCAAGATATGAATGCGCATTCGGTGTTTATAACCATTTCGAAAATATTCGAAATCGTTGAGCAGCCATATTTTTCACACTTTTTATTTGTTTCGTTATTTAACATTTGCAATTACTTTTCTGTTAATGCTCGTTTTAGTGACCTAAGATTATTTCAGGAATGGTGGACCAAAAATCCGTTCTGGGCGAAACTGCGGCCGATTTGCATGAAACTTTATGTGGAGCCTTTGGAAAAGAAACCATTCCGGAAAGCTAGTGCCGCCGCTGGTTCCAGCGATTTCGCAATGGAAACGGTAGCCTGAAGTTGAAGAACACAGAAGGCCAGAAATTCTGGATAACGAAGCGCTGAAGCAATTCATTGAGTCTGATCCGATCCTCAGCACTCGTGAGTTGGCAGTAAAATGCGGATGCTCGTACCAGACCATTGTCAATCATTTATAAGGCTCTTCGCCACTCTGGGTATTACACCTCGAAGACCGGGTTGCTACACGATCATGCACGGCCGCATTTTGCGAAGATAGTTCAGAAAAACTGGAAGTGCTGGGATGGAAAGTTTTGCCGCATCTACCACATAGCCTCGACATTGCGCCCTCAAATTATCATTTGTTTCGATCGATGCAGCACGGATTGGCGGAAAAAAAAATTCGGTGACATCAACGAGGTCAGAAATGGATGACCATATATTTCTCGACGCAGCCGGCCCAGGAGGTTTTAGCAGGATGGCACTGATTCTCTATGTCGACGTTGGCGAATGGTTATTGGTAATAATGGTGAATATGTCTCTGAATAGGATTCTTTTTGCATTTGTGAATTTTTGAAGTGAGCGTTGAACAGGCATTTATATCTTGACACCCTGATAGCAAGACCTCGGATCACATAGTCACCTCTTGAGTTATAGTATCTCCACTTTTTTTTGCTGAGCTTGAACGTCTGAGAAAAAGTGTGAGAAACTGTTCCTCAATAAAAACAGAAGCAAACTGCAACGTTAACAAGAATCGATTGCTCAACGTAGACACTTGTTGACCGACAGCTAAGGAAACGATACGAGCGCTTGGCGATTCTCTGCCCATCAAGTGCACAGACAAACCGGCTTTTCTGTTTCGGCTGTGGAGATGTGGGTGGGGCTTGGATTGGCTAGCAAGGAGACGGGGAGAAAAGCGACAACGACTGGCGAGTTTACACCGAATACCTCGTCGTTTGCAGTCCCCTGTTCTCGTGGAGAGACATCCGTTCCTCGCTGCATGAAGACAATTAGCCAGAAAACAGCTCTAACGGAACAGCCTACTGAATAACAAACGCACACTGATATCACAAGCCACGCACCTTATACCTCACGGTGCCATTTTTTCGACACTAGCTTTAGTCCTTCTACAGAAGCGATGCCATAGCAGCTTAGTTGAACCTTAGTATTTTCCGTGCTATAAACTCCCCAGAGGTGGAGATGGGACCGTGAAAAAAGGCATGATTGCCACGCCCGCGGTCCAGGGGTGAAATCCTAGATCGGCTCTCGCTCAGGCCAACTAAGCATTTCACCCTCTTTATCAAGCTCGTCCGGGAGGATAAGAACACTGGCTCGGACTTTATCCTTTATCCTGCATGAACTGCGGTGCATATGCCATATGCAAGGCCGGCGATGCATCCCTATGGGAATAAAATTGCCCTGTCTAAATTGTGGACCTTGAGAGGCATATCTTTTTGCGTACATTATTCTGTTATCTTTCAAACATCTTCGTTTACTCTGACACCTCGATTTGCCAGAAAGATGCTGTCGAACACACTCACTTTCATTGCCTCCACGTTTCATTTCAATGACCCAAAATTGTAGGAATATCAAGAAAGCATAAAAAACCCTAGGGATACTACCTTATACATAGTGCACGAGATTTTTATATAATTATTGAAATGGGAGGACAGCATATGTCATCTCTCACACTAAACTTTGAATTAGGAAAAACCTCACATTTTATCGGCAAGCCTAGTATGTGGGGTCTATACCCCAGACAATAGGGTTCAAGAAACGACTTGTGGCCGTTTCTTATCGGTATGAGCTGCGATCAAGCTCCAGCAAACTACTGTTCCGGTAACAGCGGTATCACTTGGAGGGAGTTCCGTTTACAGAGAGATTACTAGCGTCAGGTTTGAGATTTCCCGTTCGTGAGATGAGACGTCGAATGCGAACTGTATCGCAGTAGAGGCGTAGGAAACGTAGCAGCGGGTAGGGAAAGAGAGAGTCGTCTGCTCTTACCACTGAGCGTCACTTTTTCACCCAATCTTAACAGGATTCACGGTGCGAAAGTCATGGTCGATGGTTAATCGTAAGGCTGTTGAAGCTATGACGAAACAGTGACTGGATGCGTAGGAAGTGACCTTGAACGCTCTACAGGCATGAACTCAAAACTGAAAATGAAACTCAAAATACCTTTGAGCTACCACTGGTACACTCTTCTGGATAATCATGTACGCTATACCTACATGCCGCGAAAAGGCTGCCAAAGGCTTCCAAGAGACCGTCTCTGCGGAGAAGAATTCGGCTGATGCAGCGATAACATACGTAGAAACGTGATTTTAAGCCGGCGGACGACGACGGCTTTGTCAAAGCGATGGGAGAAGGGGGTGCATCGTTCAAGCCATTGGGAAGCAGTGAAGCTTCCATTAAGTGATTGATCTCGTTATTGCAGTGACGGAAGGATGACCATAATGGAATGAAACGTTAGTAGAAACACTTCACGATACCACTAAAAACAGTCCACGATTCGACTACGCTAACACTAGCACGCCAATCACAATTATATGCATATAAAGTGCAGATTCATTTTAGCTAAAGCATCGAGGCTATTATCAGAGTTCCACTGGTGAGATCTGAGAAAATGACAAGCTCCGTTTCCAATCTGATGCAGATTTTGAAGACGAAACCTTAGCAATCGTCGCAATGAGAACATACAAAAATCGCCTACAAAGAGGTGGATAGGATGGTTATGCCCTTCCCGAGGAGCATACGTACACTCGCAGCCATCAGCATGTTAAAACCGAAAAGCAGCATGGTGGACGTTAGACTGGATGGATGCCTTCTAATTGCCACCGAAAACAAGCATTAATGACAAACTGGCTGCGTTCTAGGGCGTTTAGAAGGAAGATGCGAATAAGCAGTGGCAGCAACTAAGTTCAGGGCACATCATCGTTGGGGATTCCCCAACAGGGGGGAGGCGTCGTATTTGACCGTTGAAATAGGGAAGGGGCTCGCAATAAGAGGGGCAGTCAACACAAAACAGCGAGTGCAAAGGTGTCAGTAGCACTACAAGAAATTAAAATGGTTAACTAACAGTATTAATAAGTTGGCATAAGTTCGTAGTGCGTAGATGGCTAAACAGTACAACTTAAACGATTCCGCAAATAGGTAATGGAACTACTTGAACCCTATGAGCACATCTGGTCGCATGGACAATATCACGTAGAAGTTGCACCATCCCATCATTCCTGCGTGGGAACCTAATGCAAGGTGCATCAAGGGATAAAGCTAATTGGCGCTGAACCATCCACTGCCTAGTTCTGGTCCACGACAGGATCTGTTCTAGGTGCACTCTTAAGTGTTCAAATGCGCCCACTTGAAATGGTACGCAGGAAATGGGTTTTTGGTGCTGCTCGTAGTTCCCCTCCCCCTATAAATCCCCAATGCATTCATTTCATAATCCCGGTAACTTCAAGAAGATATTAAATGGTCTTTGAGAAGAGGAAATCTTCCTCGTCGCGAAGCTTTTTTAGTGTTTACTATAATTGCGTTGAAGGGAATTTACCATCGTTCAAACCAGAAAAACTCGCGTCTAATTTAGAAAATCCCCAACAAATCCTCAACACTGAATACCTCTCTAAGTCTAGTATCTCTCATACTTTAGCAATATTTCAGAACTTATCGGAAAGCTCGAATCTAACTCGATTTATCCCGGTTTTTTCCCCAACGGTCTACACTTAAGGAAGTTATGCATAGCTCTTCGAAGACAAGCTGCTTTACTAAGGGGGCTCGGCAAATGCGAATGCAGAGAAGGGCCGCGCGCCTATTCAGTTCAAATGGGTGTGGGACGTTTGTCCAGCTCACTTTTTTGCACATATTCTCTCAGGGTCGCCTGCGATGTGACTTCACTTAATTGCTTGCTCGCTGCCTCTTGACCTCTCATCGATTCTTCTTCTTCTTAAGCGTTTGTCCCGCTCTGTAACAGGGACCGCTAGTCTTATTTTGTCACGCTACTTCCCCGAGTTAATGCTTGATCGGGATGAGTGCCAACCACTTTCAAGTCCGCATGCAACGTGTCTGACCAGCGCTGCTTGGGGCGTCCTTCAGGCCGCTTTCCGGGAACCTCTAGCTCAATACCAATCCTACGGACGGTGTCACCATTCGCGCGAACAACATGACCATACCATTGAAGGTGAGCTTCGCGCATTTTCTCCCACGGGAAATATACCGAATTTCTTCCTTATGTCGTCATTGCGTATTCAACCCATACGCGTGACACCGGCGGTCCATCGCAACATTTTCAGCCCCATGACTCCTAGGCGCGCTTAAACCTCTTTGGTCGTAGGCCAACATTCAGCGCCAACATTCACGTCGCGAAGGACTGGGTGGGGGGGGGGGGGAGGGTACGACCCGTCCCCCCTTGGTTACTTTAGAGTGTATAAAGGTATCTGCCGTGTTCATAAGGATGTAACTGTATATGTTGTGAGATACGCCGGATGATTAATAATCTGAATATTCAGAAACACTTACAAAATCAATCGAACAAAAGCACTGACGACTGAAGAGATTAGTTTCTGAGAAGTAATGTAATGCACGAAGCGAAGGTTAAAAAAAAACCTCAAAATGATCATAGTTCAATTATAGCGAAAATTCGCCCGTCGCGGGAAATTACAAGAATACAAAAATACGCGAAGGAAAAGTACGCGAGGTTTTTTCACCTTTCAAAGGCCATGGCCAAGGGCAAAGACCATATCCCTCTGGAAAGCTCGGTAGCCCTCTCGTACATCTTCTAATCACGTAAATGGGAACTGCAGTACAGAAGTGCGGATAAACACCTCCATGGATTGCACAACGTACTCTTCCTTTCTTAACGCATCACTCATTCTGCAAGCTAGGCCCCTGCTGTATTAAGTGCTTATCTCACGACTTTTGCTTAAGTGGGACCAAATGCGACCCGCCTCCCGTCGCGGATTCCGCGACGTGTCCATGATCCTACTCCGCCCGAGCGGACCGGTCCGATCAAGTGAGTGCTCAGGCTTGTTTAGCGATTATTTTTCGTTTTCTTACACGTCTTCCATTATGCTCCAGAGCGCTATCTCATCCCAGAGCCCAGAGCCTTATAAGTTGAAGAATGAAACCAATGTCAAGGTGGTAGCGGCGTGTCCTACAACATTTACTTCCTGTGCCGAGAACTTCTTCAGTAAAAAACTATTTCTTTGTTAGTATATGGTATGGTTTTTGGTAGTAGTTTATGTGCTTTCCAAGGTTGATAGATGGAACTTTTCATTTAGACAGCCAAGGTTTCGACTGAATCGTCGTCTATGGGGCCTGGATATGATTCATGGTTCAAAGACAAACCCCGCGATTGTGTATTGTAGGTAATGGCGTCCGATTACAAAGCTATAGTCGCCAAATGACTTTCCGGGGGAGAAGAAAGCACAAAATAATTATGGAACTATCCCAAACGGAGACACGGCAGCCTCTGTGGACGAGCTTTTTTACCTGTTCTTTCTGCCAACAAAGGGATATACTGCCGCCTCTAGCTCTACTTGATTCGTGACAGAAAACTGACTTTTAGTTTTGGTGGGCGGGGCAACTAGGGGGTGCCAGAAATGCCACTTATGAGGGCCGCAGCGCCTTCGTTACTCGGTGTGCAGCCGCGAAGGCGGGACCGTCTTAGAGAATGACGGCCGGACTGCTTACACAAGGAAGGACGTCTACGACTTGCTAGAGCGCGGGGGACTGTATTTAAAGGCATATGGCACGACAATTTGATGCTTGGTCTAAAATCAGCTAGCAGAGTGCCATATACTGGAAATGGCGAAAAAAAACGAGGTGGAACGGCCAAAGGCTGCGAACAAGCCTCGTTCATAATACTCAAAATGCGATTTCGGACGAGTTTTAACCGCTACGGTAGGTACGACTGCACGTATGCACTCATATATCCATGCAGCACCGCGGCCGCTTCATATCAATCCATTCGCTTCATATTTTATTTCGCAAATGAAGCAGTACCAGCATCCATTTGTGGGCGGGCGGGTGCAGTGGGCATTCGGGTCGGTATGGGGTGTGGCTTGATAGGGCCTTATAAGGGTGCTTTCCTTGAGAAAGGTGCTACCCAGTGCCTGCTCATTGGCGTGGAATTTCGTCTTACGGGCGTATCAATGCTACTTGTCTTAGGGATTTATCATGCCAACTGCCTTTAAGTTGACGCTCTGATCCACCTCATCTTCTCTAGCGGTTCAGACATACTGACAGGAACCACGAAGAGAATTCCATGCAACGCATGAAAACGAACTCATCTTGAGTTCCACTATTTGAGCAGAGAGTCGCTACCACATTGTAGCGTTAGTAAGAAGCAAGTTATACACTTGGCTTTCTATTTTCGACTTTTATTCGATAATTTCAAGCGTTCTTGATCCAAAAAACGAAGTTTTATGTGCAGTGTTGTAAGTCCCGCGAAACCTGAATAGATGTGCTTTTGAAAGCGCACGTGGAACGGGAGAAACCTCACAAAGGTAGCGTTCAGACTTCGCGACGAAAGCGCTCCGGCCCGGATTCGAGCGATTGATCGCGCCTGCGTGCAATTGCGTCGAGCAAACATACGAATGCGTAGCGCGGCTGGTTAGATCACGTTATGCTAAAATCGACGCAACCGACGCTAATTCACAGCTGTATTCACAGACTTCTTTCTTCTTCCTCCTTTTTTTAGCTTCTAGCTCCTTTTCAGCCTTTTTTGATCTTCCTGCCAGTCTTTTTCACAATTCGTCCTAATGTTTTGTCAGTTTTTATACTTTTTTTACCTTCAACACATTAAAACTTTTCAAATGGATGTCCATGTTGACTGCAAGCGCTTCCTCTCTTCCTGAGGTGAGTTTTTTCGCGTTCGCTGTTTTTTAGTTATCTCTTTCATTGTTATTAATCCTATTGTGTTTTAGCTTGGTCGCAATCAGCATGGCCATCCATCTGAACAATTTGAATGTGTTAAAGTACAAAAAATTACAACAACCGTCAAAAGATTAGGAACGAAGTGAGAAAAATACTGGCAGGAAGATGAAAAAAGGGAGTCAGAAGTTAAAAGAGGAGGAAGAAGGAATAACCCAGTGAATAGGGCTGTGAATTAGTACCAGTCGATTCCAGCACTGGAGCGCAATTCAATCAGTCATGCTACGCAATCGCACACGGGCGTGAACGATCGCTCGAACGGGCGGCCGAAGCGCTGCCGTTGCGAAGTCTGAACGCTGCCAAACGGAGAAAATTTTCTCGCAGCGCGGAAGCATTCGGCCTTCTTCCCAGTGGCTAAATAACGACCCCCTTGGTTATGTTTCTCACAACGGTGCTGCGCTCTATCAGGATCAGTTTGCCTCATGATACAGTGGAGGCGACATAGAAAGAATGGAAAATCGGATGATGTTGGAGCGTGATATGAGGAGATTCCGTAGAGAAAGGACGTGTTGAAACTTGGGAGCAGAAAATCAGCCACTATGGAGTTGATGTGAGCTTTTCGCTCGGGTGCCCTTTTTAGCGCTTCCTCTCTTTAGCTCTCATGGATATGTCCTTCAAGAAATATGACGGTTTTCAAAGTGTTCATCAAGCCATACAGGGACAACGAATAACACAGAGATGGGACCATCTAGTGTTTGCAACTAGCCAATAACATAATATTATGCGGAACGTAGTTGCAGTATATTTGTTATGATCTACAGCGAATAAATACCAATTAGGCTTTGCTTCCGAGCCCAGCCGGTCTCCCACCATTCTTTACCTCTCCATTTGTGCTTTAGGTGCCGCTTGGCCCGCAAGATCAAAGATGGCGACCATTGATCATGTCGTGACCTACCGCGTTGGATATAGACTATGTAGACTCTGGCGCCCAAAAAGGGCTGAAAACGTCGACGCAGGAACACTCCGGCAGTTTTTCTTCAGTTTGCTGAGGGAGAATGCGCCACGCGGACTGCATCGCTTCATTTTTGCTTGAGTTTTGAAGGCTCTTGGTTCGAATTTGGACTTCATTTTATTAAGATCAACTTATAACAGAACCAAGCAACAACTTATTTCATATTCTGAGGGGAGTCCCGCAAATCTTATTTTTTTGACTTCTTGACGGTGAGGCGAGGTGTCGACGGTTTCTCCCTTGTCTCCAGAGATCTTCTTCGTCTCGCATGTGCTGCTCTTTCGCTCGCAGCATAAGTTTCCTTGATGTTGTTGCGCCTGCAACAGGAACGCGAATGAAGAACTCGATCGGGTGGGAAGGGAGGGTGTTTGGTATTTATTCGCTGTAGATCATAATAAATATTATACTGCAACTACGTTTCGCATAGTATTATATTATAATCAACAGCTCATAAATACTAATTAGGCTCGTTCAAATCACCTTAGGATAGATTTCTGATAGGAGTCTCGCAAAGGCTCCGTCTGGCAAAGGTTGCGGAAGGTTGCACTCCCTGAAGCCCACGCAGCCGCTTACATTATTGCCTCCAAGGACACGCCTTGCTTGTATGCTTTGGATGTGTCTGCGGAGCGTGTAGAATGAGCTGAGAAGTCACCTCCTACCCCGGCTTCAACTAGCACCGTCTTGATCCATCAAGCTACGGTGGCCGCGGAGATTGGTCTGTGAGGTGACGCGTAAGAGAGTGAGAGTGCGTTCTCCTGACCACGGAATTCTTCCGCTGCTGCGAGGTATTGTTGTAACGTTTTGACGGGACAGAGGAGTCTGTTATCTTCGTATGCCTCGTACACGGCTGACAGGGGTCGACCATACCTGGGAATTTTGTTTCTATAGTCGATAAAGAACACCCAGCGATGAGCGTTCCTCTGGAGACTTCCCAGGGAGAAGGGAGCTATCTCTGACACCCGCTTAGGGAAACACAAAGCAAGCAAAATAGTGAGTTTGAGCGTAAGCTGCCTCAGGGACAGCAGTGGATTTTCATCGAGATTTATTATATATCTCAATACCTTGTCTACTTCCGCGTAGAGGAATACCTGGCCATACGAGGGTTGGCACGGAAGAGGCCTTCCATGAATCTCACCACGACGGAGTCTTTTCCCCAGGTGGTCACGAAGACCAAGTCTGGGATCGTGGTAACAGCCGCCTTAGAAGATGCAGCGGATGAGTAGCTCATCCCCTTATCGGCTAACGAGGCTAGGAAAGTGGAGGGGATCATGTGGTTAGCGGCAGCTAGGTCGGTTCCTATCTGTGTGAGGTAGGTGTGCCATTTCTTCAGAGATGAGTACTGCCGTCTAGTATGTGAAGCCCAGCTGGCCAGGATAGTATCGACCGGCCGTTGGTTGCATCCCGCAGCGCCCAAGATCTGGCTCCAGGCTAACAACGCAAAGTTCTTCTAAGCTAGCAGAGGTGGTCCCTGTCCCTGGGCATTGGGCAGAAGCGGTCGTGCGCTGCATTGCAGCCAGACCGTTTGTTTTTCTGCCTGTCTCAGGAGCAGAGGAAACCAAGTCTGACTATTCCACAGAGGAGTGACGAGAATCAGTGTTGCACCGTCTACTGCCTTCCGGAGAACTCGTCCGAATAGGTTGCACGGCAGGAAGGCGAATCCGAAGATCCCCGACTAGTTGTGCGCAAAAGCGTCTACCTTTGACGCACCTGGATCGGGATTTAATGAGTGTAAATATACAGCTTCTGATTAGGCTGCGTTCATACTTCGCGACAGCAGCGGCGATCGTCGGTAGCAGGACGAGCGCGCCCCAACACAACGAGTTGGACGAATTGAAAACCTGCCGGAAATTTGTTTTAACGTAGTTTTTTTCTTTCTTTATTATTACTCTCAGTGAAAGGTTATTTGATTTCCAGGTGGGGACGAAATTGAATAATATGCTTCTGGATCGAGGTATCAGCCAGGTCCAAAATTCCAATCCGTTTCTTATTTTCTTCTCTTTCTCTCTTGTTTACTCTCTCATTCCTTCTCTCGACGCCATGTTTCGCAACCCTTGTGTCCGTTGAGTGATGTGAGTACTCGCTTGTTCTGCTACACTTGCTCTTTTAAGGTTTCGCAACGCTTTGGTGCTCAGTGACAGGGTATTCGCGCATTCTTGCTTTATTGTGTTAATCAAACCGTTTTTTTTCTCCTAATTGCTCGAACTCGTTATTACTGTTGTTTACAGTTTTATTTTCTTCGTGCCAACTAAAATGTTCTTTATAGGATCATCCTCTGTTGCGTTTCTAGTAACACTAGTCAAAGTAGTAGTATTCTAGTAATAATAGTAATAGTATTCCTAGTAATCAAATAACCCCTAACTGTGAGTAATAGTAGGCGAAAGAAAGAAAAAAACTACATCAAAACAAATTTCCGACAGGTTTTTTCAATTCGTCCAACTTGTTGTGTTGGGGCGCGCTGGTCCTGCTACCGATGATCGCGGCGACCGCCAAGGTCGCCGTGATCGCCGCGATAGCCGATGCTGTCGCAAAATTGAACGCTGCCTTAAGTCTTGAAGCAAAAAGGTCGACCGAAGACCTGCCGAAGTATGAAAATAATTGCTGAGTCAAGAGATGTCTAAGGACCATTCGCAAACCTCTCTGGCGAACACTCCTGACTCTGAATCGGCTTCCTGATTCTCCCTCCTGAGCCTATGGGTTGCAAGTATGCTACGTCTCTGTCCAAGCACCACGACCATATTCGTTCTGCTATCTGAGAGAGTTCCACTCTTGTTGTGCCACCCCTGCGCTTCAGATAGGCAATAGCCGTTGTTTTGTCCATCTCTAGGAGCACGCTAATGTTTCTCCACTGGTTCCCGAAGGATTGTAGTCCAAATAGGGCTGCCAGGAGTTCTAGCCAGGGTACAGCATCGTTGTGTGAAACACATAGAGGGGTCGTACTTTTCCGCTGGGGAGGGGGTCGTATTTGGGGTAAGACAAATTTATTTTGATAGTTGATTTTTCTTGTGGAAGAAAGGGGGTCGTATTATTCGTATTAATTTTTTATGCACTCTGTACACCGCCAGATATACGTTGCATAGTTATTGTACTACCCGCCCCCTCGACGACTTTTTCGCCGACTATATACCCATCGCTCGTCAGTCGGCGAAAGAGCCGGTCGAGCTGAGGGAGGGGGTCGTACCAACGGGAAAAAGGGGGGGGGGGGGGGGTCGTGGCGTGGACCCCATTCGGAGGAGGGGGTCGTACTCACACCGGGACATTTCGCCTATCCCTATGCTGTACCCTGGTTCTAGCACGGTTGATGTGGCGAGTTGCTTCTTGCTCCGGACTATCTCCCCTGTGCGTCTACCGTCACAAAACCGCTCATCAAGCTTATCTTGGAGGCATTGGTCACATAGAGGTGTCAGGGGAGTCAAGCCGTCTTGAAGACTTTGAAGGGAGTCCAAGGAGAATGCGAGCTCATCCGCCATTCAAGAAGAATCTGCGCAGCGACAGTGACGTCTGCGCTTTCGTCAAAAATGGGACTGCTGACAGAGGCGACCTCCTAATTTTTCTCTGTTTCAATAATTTGCAGAAGATCTCGCACACCATCGTTGTACCTCTCAGAGAAGAAGACAGAAGGAAGTAGATCCAAAAGAAAAAAAAATTTCGGCTGAACAGAATCGGAAGAGCGCTCGAAATGGGGGGAAAGGAGTGTACATGCGCTGAAAGCTTACACCAACGCTGCGGACGACCTTGGCAGTGAAACTCCTCTACTGAAGATTATTTTTTGAGAAAGTTACCGCCAATTCTGAGGCAGCGCGCAAGATGATGGACGTGCTCAAACGACAGTATGCGAACTGGAGTTGCAATTACAAGAATTGACACTGCAGTTGAGACGACTCTGCCGCAGGAAGAGGCTCTAACGGATAGAACTCGTCCCAGTACCCTGTACCGAAAATTATCGGAAAGGTATCGGAATGGAGGACTTCTGGAGCGGCATTTGAACATTCCATTCACTCGAGGAAAACGGACGATATTAAACAAAATTAATTATTTGCCTACGCTATGCGCGGAGAGGCAAGGAATCGATAAAGAAATTCAAAGTCAGTGGAAGAACATATGAAATGGCGATAAACTTCTGAAGAAGAAGTACGGAATGCGCAACTTCTTTATACGAGAACTCATCGAAAGACTTGAGAAGACAAAAGCGAAGAGCATAAAAAATAGAAGACCACGAAATTGAGTGAAGAATTTCCCTCGATAGTGAAGGCAGACTGAACTAATAAAAGGAGAGATGTTTGACAGCACTGTGCTCAGAAGCGGATACTGTCCTAAATCACAGAAGCAATTCAAGTTTGTTTGTTTGGTTGTAAAGTTTGTTTGTTTAATTGTCTGTCCGGAAATTCGCTTCAACCTGAAAAACACTTGGAGAGATCGGGTCAAGGTGGGGATGGGTAGGGCATGGGACAAGAATAAAAAGCACAACTTGACCTATGCGAAGCCCCGCCACGGTGGGCGGAGCAACTTGCCGAAGTTTGGGGTTCCGCACAGTAATGTCCATAATTCGCTTCCGGAGCAGCTCAAAGATGATGAAGTGGAGGGGAAAGCGAAAAAGTGAAATGTGCTTAGCAAGGAGTTACAAACTAACTGTGGGAGGCAATCCAAAATGGGCGGGGCTGTGACTCAAAGTGGGCGGCGCTTCTCACAAAACTCAGTTAAGCTGGCTCGCAAGGAGTTTTAGAAAGTCGGCAAAAAGAACTCGATGCGAAATGTGAATATCTGGCGAGTGTTGGGCACGCCTCAAAGTGTGTTGAGACCCGCCCACAGTGGGCGGAGCTTGCTCTTGATCGCAGATACTCATTTTTAAAAGTCTGTAGCTCAGTAACAACTCCAGAAACCGGAAAAAAAAGAGGATCAAGGTCAGACGAAGGCTGGGCCGATTGAGGATTGTGGGGTTACAAACACTGTAGGCGGGCTTGCTCCGAGGTGGGACGGGTCAGACAAAAATCTTGTAAAATAGTTTCAGAGCACTCCAGACACTGGAAAAAAAGTGTATTTAAAGGACTGCACAGGGAAGCCGTGTGAGGATTTTGAGGCACAAACATTGCGGAACGGAGCCTGCTTCAAGCGTGGGCGGAGCCAGACTAAAATTCTGTAAAAACGGTCCCGCACTTCAAAGACCGAACAAAGTGACTTGGTCGCCATTGAGAAATGTGGGGCATAAATGTTGTGGACGGGGACAGCCCGAGGTGGGCGGGCCGGACAAAAAAATCTACAAGACAGTTTCAGCAGCGGTCCAGACACCGGTCAACTGTGTGAGCGAGAGATGTGCAGGGACCTCAACTGTTGGATATATGGCAAGAGTTGTGTGTCTGTTGGTGTGGCTGTAACGCGCTCCCAGTGGGCAGAGGGCACGATGTACATATTCTTACTGTGTTTTGGGCGTATTCTGCCATACTGTTGACCACCGGTCGTCATAGGTATTAGATTCCAGTCCGCTCGGCGGCTTAATGCCAGCGCCTCCTCCCTGTGATACGGCCCAAGTTGGCCGGACGGGCACGGCTTCACACACATGCCTTCCCCAGTATTCTCCACCTGTGCCCATAATCGACGCGTTCTAGTACCACTCCATACTCAGTATTAGTCAAAATAGCAGGGATGATGTATTTTTCGAGAAGCTTGAACCATGATAACCGAACAAACGCCTGATATCAGTCAAGTCCTAGAAATATGTGAAAGAAGGTACGCGCGGCGAAGCTGCGCCTGCCCGGCGCAGCCGTGTATAAGAAGTAGGCGCGCCGGCGTGAGCCGGCGAGCCGACTGGTAACATCAATACAGAACTGAAGATTAATTGAAGCATCGACCCTTGCGATGGTATTCCAACTCCATTTTGAAGGATTCATTCAAGCGAAGATCTACCAGTGAAGATGAACTCAGCAGATAGTTCGCCAAGAAAGGTTTCGCATGTGTTCACTGCGAAAGTAGCGGTCACATTCCTGGAGACGTCCTGTGCATAAGACAAGAGAACAACGGTTTGCAATCTTGAAAAATTGATCGCTTTGTAGGAACTGCTCTGGATCAAACCACATGGCAAGTGAGTGTACTAAAGGAGCTTGCCGACTGTGTGAAACTGTTGGCCACCACACCTCAGTATGTCGGGATCTGACACCACAAGACAAGGGAAAAGGACCACTACATGCTCTTTCAACAGAAGGCAAAACCAGGACTACAACTTCTCGTCCAGCCAAACAGCACATCGTGACGTCTCCGAGTCCTTTCGAGGAGGAGGAGACTCGTCGGAGACCGGAAAGCGCCCGGTGTATGAACTGTTCTGGACAAGCGAAGGACTGGTGATATTGGTTGGAGAAGCCTAAGTACACAACCCCAGAACACAAACACGGGAATCAGTACACGTACTATTGGACACTGGAGCTGATCGCTCCTTCATATCGATGAACCAGCAACTCGCCTCCAGCTCGACGACTCAAAGAGAGTCAAGCTACAAATCAGTACTTTCTGATCCCATGAACTCATGGAAGACATGTGGAATCACAAAAGTGTACCTATGGGACTCTTCAGGAGAACGTTACTTGTTTTCAGTGACACCAATCAAGCATTTACGGATTCTTTTTACCAGAGCAAGTTTTCCAAAAAAGATATACAGTTCCTCGTTAAAAACCGCATCGAATTGTCAACCGAACCATGCCAATAGGTAGTTCACAAACAAATCCTGCTAGGATGCAGCTATGTTTTCTCTCTGCTTTATAGAGACAGCTTTCCGACATGGATACGTCCGTCAGGGATCAAACTTGTCTCTTCACGTCTCGGGTACCTAGTCGCCGGAAAACTTCAGGACGAAGTCGCGAGTGACCAGACATACACAAACACCTTCGCAGCAGGCACGCATATGGAGAAGTGGGAACGATTTCTGGCTTCCAAAATTGCAGGACTCCACGACTTCTCCGGAACACAAGCGAAAGAACAGGAAAAGGTTGACCAAGTGGTATGGAATACATTTGAGTCCACAATTTCGCGTTGCGAGAACGGCTATCAGGTCCGGCTACCATGCACAGCTGAGGTGGCCGCACTACCAAACAATAGGGCACTCGAATACAGGAGAGACTGCTCAGTTCTGAATAGGCTCAAGTGCTCACCTGACATCCTCCAGCAGTATCACCAAAACTTCGTCGATCAAGTGAGCAAGGGTATTCTTGAAAAAGTACAAACAGATAACAAGAATTCCCCTTGTAGCGTCGTTCATTACCTAGCGCATCAAACGGTAGTCACTCCAGACAAAGAATTCACAAAACTTCGAGTGGTCTACGATGCCTCGGCACATTTGAAAGACAAACCCTCCTTAAATGATGCCTTGGAGCGGGACCGGTGATGCTGTCAGCAAAGCTTCACATGCGCCTTCGATTCCGAGTCGGGAATATTGCTATAATCTCAGATGTAGAGAGGGCGTTCTTGCAAGTTCACCTTCACCCTGATGATCGAGACGCAGTCCGCAGTCTCTGGGTGAGAGACATAACAAAACCTCCAACGGGATCGCATGTGATTGAGTATCGCTTCACACGGATCCCATTTGGACTCACCCGCTGTTCAGTTCCTCTTAGCAGTAACAATACGACATCATCCCAGCACTACTACAGATAACTCTGCTGTTGCTAAGAAAATATTAGCTAATGTGTATGTGGACAATGTGGTTTACCGCTGCAACACAAGGGGAGGCCGCAGCGAAGTATCAGGAATCCAAAAGTCTCTTCAATGCGATGATCATGAATCTTCGTGGATTCTAGACCAACAGAGATACTGTAAACGCTCAAATCCCACAGGAACAGAAGCTCAAACAGAAATCCCAAGGTTCTTGGCATAGTCTGGGCACACGATCTCCTGTCGATCGAAGGGAAAATTACCAAGAAAACAGGGCTGACTAAAAGAATTGTTTCTGAGCAAGTGTCTCAATTTTCGATCCGGTGGGATGGCTCACTCCTCTGCTGCTCAAAGCGAAGCTGTTCTTGCAAACCCTATGGCAACCTGGATATGACTGGGGCGTGGAACTCTCCACAGAACATGTAATGGAATGGAAACAGATTTGCAGCAACATTAGCGGATATCGACGATGGCTACCACGAACAGTGGCTTCTTCAGATTTGGTGGCATAACTGGTATTATTTGCAGATGCAAGTAACAGAGCTATGGCAGAGCGCGCTCACCTTGTTACAAAATTAGAGTCACACCTCTTGTTTGCCAAGTCAAGACTGCCAAATCCTAAAGAGCGACCCACGATTCCTAAATGGAGATCAACGCAGCCACACTAGCGGCAAGAATAGCTCATATGGTACATAGAGCGCAGAGCAAAGTCCAGATTTCTTCCATCACTATTCTCTCGGACTCGCAAATATCTCTTAGCTGGCTATCAACATATCCAATCCGAAAGGACTGCGGCGTTCTGGTGAAAAATCGAGTCAATGAGATCAGGAGAATCGTTCAAACCGTCGACGTTACCGTTCCCTTTGGATACGTTGACACAAGAGATAACCCCGCAGATTGTGCAACCAGAGGATTGACCTCGACTAGTATGGATGTGGACTGGGCCGGAGTTCTTGAAACTGCCTAATAACGGTTGTCCTGAGAGTTGCAAAACCTTCAGACTTCCACAAGAAGAGACTGGAAACACCGTTGAAGATGAAATTCAAAATTGCTCATCGATGACGGCAAAGACAACAGGGAAGGGAAAGATGGAGGAATCACTGAAGTGGAAACGACATAACACCCTAAGTTCGGCAACTGCTACAACTGCCTATGCTTTGCGTTTCCTCGGAGGAATCATTCACAAAGTCAATGACAAGCTGAAAAGAAGAATTCAAAATTCCATCCCAGAACTCAAGTGTGAGAACAGAACAACATATCTATCTCTACAAAAAACAGCAGCTCCAGGAATGTCACCATCCGTAATCATCAGCAAGTGCATGTAACGAGGCAACTTTGCGAATAAGTAAATAGCCTGAACCTGAAGCAGGACGAGAACGGTCTACGCCGTTGTGTTGGACGATTGGATAAAACCCAGGTTCCAGAAACGGTGAAGAGACCTTTTTTCATTTGTGCGAAAACACCACTGGCAGAATGCATTGTGAAGGACGCGCACAATCCACTCCACCTCAGCACGTCGCACACGATTGCACGTGTTAGGGAAACATTTTGGATACCAAAGCTGAAACGACAAGTTCAAACCTTGCTGAGAAAATGCATCCCGTCCCTCCACCATATCAATATCCTGCTATGGGTCCTCTTCCAGAAAGGAGAGTAGTACAAGCGAAACCACTCCAGCACGTCGGCATAGACTACTTTGAGCCCCCTGATGGTAAAAGGGAATAAATATAGTAACAAGGTGTACGGACTGATCATCGCACGCATGACAACGAAATACACCTTGAAGTTGTTCATGACATGTCGACGGAGAAATTGTTGATGGCTTCGCGAAGGTTCTTTGCCCGTAGAGGAGTACCGTCAACACTTATGTCAGACAATGGACCTTCGTTCACTGTGGGAGAAAAATTCTGCGCGACACAGTTCAACAGGTCATAGAAATCGAAAACGCCAGTCGACTCTTGCGAGGAAAGGCATAGTCTGGTCAACCGCACCATATGCTCCGTGGCAGGGAGCAGTATATGAAAGGCTGATCAAATCTGTTAAGCACTGCTTTACAAGACTCGGATTTTGACCGCAGAAGAACTGACTACACTCACGACCGAAAGTGAAGGAAGCTCAATAGTCGGCCCTTGACATATCAAGGAGAACTTTATGACGAGATGAAACCGTTGCGACCCATCGACTTCATTGTCAAAGATGTCGAAGTGTTGTATCCCTTCAAAAAAAACAAACACAGCGATGATCCACAGTACGTCCCACCAAGGGAACTCTTATTCCAGACAAGGCAACAAGCGGAAACTGCGCTGGCATGATCCCAGAAACCCACAGAACAGTTCTGGGAAACCTGGCACACGATGTACCTGGGCAGCCTCCGCGAGGTCCACAAATGGAACATGGATCAAAAACGTCACGGAAAGAAGATCCAGAAATCGGTGAAGCCGTGCTGATAGCGGATCCGAACATTCCACGCAATAGCTGGAGGGTGGGAAGAATACTTGACCTCACAGAAGGAACAGATTCTGCAGTACGCGAAGCGGTGATACGAACGCCTGTTGGTAAGCAGATACGTAGACCGGTCTGTTCTGATCTGTTAGTTCCACTGGAACTTGAGGATCATCCGACGCTGTCTGCAAAAGAAATAAAGGAGATATCAAAGGATACATCTCAGCAGGAATCAATTCGAGAAACATCAAATAAGAGATATAATCTCGGGAAAAGACCAAGAGTAAATTATAGAGAAGATCAAGAAGATACCCAGGAATCTTGCTGTGAATACCTTACACAGTTATAGAGAGTCTGCGATTCCGTGGTCCTCGATGCTCATATGCTTCGCCTTCATTTTGACAACAACTGCATCAGCGTCAGCTCAAACAAGTTGGACGAATGGCTCTGACAAACTTCAGTGCATCGGGGAGGAGTCCAAGTAGAAAGTACAGAAGTCAACAAATATAAAGTCTGTTCTGAAGGACACTGCATTCTCCGAGAAAAACCATATGCGACTGAGAGGCTGTTATTTCCTACAGAAGTGACGATTCATACATATAGAGTGCAATGGAAAACTCTGGACGAGAGTCATGTTAATGTTGTGAAGCTATACTGCCCTCCAGCGCCATTCTGTCAGATGATACAAGGTTGATTCTGCACAGCTGCAATGTTCAACCCTTAGTGCAATCCAGAAGCAGCACTAATAGCTTTTATGATCTTGTATACATTAAATCGCAGTAACTTACACGCTCTGCTATGTACCGGTAGTTATTGGCAAACCATGTCGAATAGGATATCAGATCCTTCAACGAGCAGCACGCTGCGGCGGACAGCTCTTGCTCAAGGCTCTCAGAAAGATATATCGCCGAAGAAGAGATTACGGAAGACCAGACGTTCAAAAAATGCTCCTCTGCTTGCGGTTGTCTTCGCCATGGCAAAAGAATTGACCTGTCAAGATGTCGATATCTTCACCTTGACAACCAAGGTTTACTCAAGAAACTCACCGACTGAAGGAAAATGTTTAAAATGTGAAAGATGTGACAAAATGGTCAAATTAAACACGTTCAGTTAGGAAGCGTGTATTCGGGTAGTCAAAAACGAAGCGAAACTTCGGAAATATCGCTTTCTCTGGAGAGGTTTGCATCTCGAATGCTAAAAAGAAACGATAACGTTCATGAGAAACACAATCCAGAAAGTTGACGATTCAAAACGATGTGCTCATACAGCAAGCTACAAAGGAAGTAAATGCGAGTAGTTCAAACATCGCTTATTCCTGAACTCGCCCCTGGAAACAAGTACACAGGGATAACTAGGTGTGTGGAAAGCTACGGAGGCTCAGGATGCGGCTGCTTCTACTAAGCAGTGCTGTCTCTTCTACAGAATTTTTCACGTATCGGATGACGACGCAATCTAGAATCGAGATTATTCAATGCCGATCATGGAAAGAGGCAGTGGAACTTCAGATCCAGTCAGAAGACGACAAACGAAAACAGTAGAGGAATTAAACATGGGAAGTTAAGGCTGACGCTGAGCTCTTTGACTGTCCCCCCAGTCGCGCTTTTGACACTTACTTCATCAGCAATGGAGAAGAAACAGAAATATGGAAGGGACGTAATCCTCTCTTGTTCGAATGCGCATCTTCTCAGCGTGCAAAAAATGTGTATTGCTCCGTGATACACAACTGCATATGTCAACCAGCAGAGCTACAAATCCTATGTAACTGCATGGACAACAGCATCACGGCACTGTTCGAAAAACAGCACGAAAATCGCCTACCTGTACGACAACCTTGGGTGTTTTTTGACAAGTCTAGGCGAGACCCTAGCTCTGTCAGCGCACTCATACCAACCTTGATCACGGCAGAACTCTTGGTCACAGTTAAAGAAGATATTAACATGATCACTAAGGAAGTATCGAACATGACCTGCAAGATAGGTAACGCGATGGCTCAAGGATGCTATCAGTAACCACGGCTCAACTCGAGCGGAAATACATTGCGGAGACCTTCATTTCTTAGTTCCATGCTCGCACGATGGAGAAAAATCCGAAATACGCTCCTCATACAATAACACGGTTGTGCGAATCAACACCCACACATTTCGATATCACTGGCATCCTCAAGTGGACCAGAACAATAGAGGCATTTGTTGAGCAAATAATAAAAGGAGATACCTCTATTGGGGACGAAATGGAATTTCCAGACTTAGGTCATATTTCTGACACAATTCTGTCGGGATACAGAACAATGGCAATCACGGCAAGTTGCTTCCTCATGGCCATAGCCGTAGGGTACCTCTTCCTATGGACGTGTGGCTGTCAATATTCGCCTACCTTTTAATCAGAATAACAAAATATCACTCGCAGATGCTCAAAAGAATAGTCGCAGGATTAATTAACGGATGCAGGAACTTTTTTCAAAGAAATCCAGAAAGGCGTCACGCGAAGCAAACGTAGTTTATTGCACTCCCCAAAGTAGAATTAGTAGAGTTTGTATATCTACTATGTAAAAGGCAATTCAAATTCAAACGCCAACGGAGATGTTCTTTTCCACCAATCACATCAACAAATCACAGCGTAACGCGCAGCTTCCCAAGAAAAACAAAGACGTAACAGTGATGCTGCTACTTTAAAGAGCTTCCCACTCTATCTCCCTCACCATCAACATCGCTACATGGCACAACAAAGACGGCATGCCTATATAAGCAGCGGTCAGAAAGGTGAAACTTCAGTATTACCACATGTCGTCCAGCGAAGAAGTTCAGCAGCCGACAGCTCTTGAAGAAACTCAGCAGCTGACAACGACCGAAGAAAGCCGGACGAAGACAGCAGCCGAAGGAAGCCGGAAGAAGACAGCGGCCGAACCATCCCAGAAGAAGACAAGCAAGAGAACGATGGAAGACTCAGTGCAGGATATGAGGAAGCGGTTGCACAAGAAGCAGTCCAAGACACGGTCACTCAGTCCGAAGCGAAGACGACCAGAGGCAACCGAAGCTGGCTCACAGTACAACCTCTGGAAAGAGTTCTTTGAACGTGGAGCTGCAGTCTTCCAGCAAACAAGGAAGAATATTGAGATCCTGAAAAACAGCGATGCAGCGTCAGGAAAGCAGCAAGACTAACAAATGTCTGAACTATTACAGAAGATGTCCACTTTGGAGAACACCATGCTGCAACACCACGAGTTCGTTGAAGCAAACTTCAAACCGTCACGGTTATGGTGTGAAACGACTCTCTGGACAAAGTGCTCAACGGACTCAAATCAGGGTCTGAAGATTTCTGCAAGGACGTGCATGAGTAGATCGAAGCAGCAAAATGTGCTTTAGTAATAAGAATAGAAGAAGTGGATCAAGAAATCCGAAATGCCAGATCGTACATTGAGAAGACCAGCTACCAATCATTTCTCGCAGAAATGCGCGAGCGAGATTGACGAATTTCTGGATTCAAAAATGTAATCCATGCGTGACTGAATGTCCTGGAGAAGAAAGTGGAACTTCTGCTGGATATCCTCACAACGCTGGAATATATTCGGTACCGTAACGAGCAAAAAGAAGAATGCAGTCCAAAAAAGGTACCTTAGGAGATACTAAAGGATTAAGACTTTTTCAGAATTGATGACAGCCCCGAATACAAACCAATGAACCGCACTCCGTCCGAAGCTGGATGTGGCCGTAGACCGGAAGTCGACCCTTCGGATGATCGGTCCATTCGTGAAGCACTGCCCAGCGCAAGGAGCTCATGAGAGTGAATCATGAAACATTCGCGATTACTCACAAGATTGAAGAAGAGCAGAAAGCCAAGGGAGATTCACCTAGAACACAAGCGAACATCGACACCTTAAAGCGGGAAAAGTACAAGCTCATTGACGAAAAAATGCGATTGAAAGAAGAAGAAAGAGGTCTCAAGATCATGCTTGTCGACTGGACGAAGAACAATGAAAGTCGTCACCACCCATCACCTCGCCGAAAATCGCCACGGAGAAGCAGCCGTGAACAAAGACATCGGAGCAGTCGGGATTCGCCGCGCCGGAGCCACCGTTCGCCGATTACCCACTCTCGTCGGTGTCGAACGCCAAGCCCACACTCAGGTCGCCGGGGAGTATAGAGAAGAATTCCCTACAGTGATCAATTTGTTTATGAAATACTTTGAATTTCGTAGAACTTATCACTCTTGCGAAACTAGAAATGTAGCGTCACTTGTTTTTAGAATTCCAGGAAAACATTGGGCATCTCTGTATTTAAGCGAAGGACTTTCTATTAGCCTCTCACTCTCTCCCTTATCGTTGTATGTGGATACATTCTTCTCCCACAATCTGTGAACCCGCGTGCAACATAAAGAGATCCTTGTCGACAAGTTGGAATCTCAACTGGCAGTTTAGGGCCTCGGTCACTCGAAATAAACTCTGCCTGGTTTATTGTACTGGGTGATGAGCAAGAATCTGACCTACTAATGCTCTAGCCTGTAGATTCTAATCATTTTTCGAAAAGGGGTGAGGAAATGGGCGCAGCTACCTATGGCGGCCTAAGATGACAAAAATTTTGAAAAAAAGGAGCGAAATAGGGCGTGGCTTGCGGCGGAGTTTAGTGCACCATCGTATGAGGCAGCGTTCATACTTCGCGACTGCAGCGGCGATCGCGGCGATCGTAGCGATCGCCGCGGTGATCGGTACGCAACAGAGCGGGCCCGAACGCTATTGCTTGGACCGCTCTCTGACAAATGAGGATGCCTGGGGGCGTGTCTATGAGTACATTCGTTTTGTGATTTTGCGGAGAAGGATGTGAAAAGAACGACGTTAAGAAAAAAGATATGGAAAATTCGAATTTGCAATAATTTCAATAAATAGTGGGTATCTGCGTAGGTATCCATTCTTCTCAGTAATGTGTACAAAACAGCAAAAGCGCAGAAAAGTGACACGAACAGATCTTAGTGAACAAATTCCAAACAACCGTGAGTGCGCTGAAAAAAAGGCAGTGGTGCTGGGCGAGGATAGTAGCACTACATACTGTGGTCTACTCAATTAGATGTAAGTATGCAGTGTGTCCGACTAGGTTTGAGAGAGCACGTTTTGATTGCAAAAGTGTCAGTTTGTCTAGAGAGGGCCCTTTTTGAGAATAAAATAGTTTATATGTACAGCATGAAGTGCGCCTATATTCGGAATATCATCCCTGATATGTGACCAGTCGGCTCACCAGCTAACGCGGCGCTCCTCCTTCTGATACGGCCCCGCTGTGCCGGGCGGGCGCGGCTTCGCCGCGCGTACCTCCTTTCACATATTTCTAGGCTCAACTGATATCAGACTTTTGTTTTGTATTCGTGGTTAAAGCTTCTCGATAAAGCCACTTTCTCTGCTATTTTGACAACCAGACGGATCGCCCGCCTTCGGCGGGCGATCCTCCTTATGCGTGTGATGTGGGTCCCCGGCCCTCCAACCTGAGGCCCAGTCGTGGGTAATGGATGCTCAGTGGAGAACTGAAGTGGAAGTATGGGTGTATATGGATTGTTGTAGAATAAACAACAGGTAAATAAGTAAGTAAACAAATAAATAAATACAAATAAGTTATAAATTTTCGATTTCGACCTCATGTTCACTAGTATTCACATTTGTCTTGAGACAAAATCATAATTTTTGCCCCCTGCTTTTGCTGGGGTGTCTCTCCCTTAGTTCATCTGGTTTCCCGATCTCGCCCTTCAAGCATATTACCCACCCTTCGGGTTGCTCAGGATGCGTTTTGAAAATTTTTATCCATGGCACCGTTCACTTCTGCCTACGCCGCTCCCATTGTGGGCGGAGCATAGATTACCTTGTGGGTGTTCTGTAAATGTTGAACCATGCCACGACCATCCCAAGCTTGATCCGTTCGCCAAAAGTGATTTTCCACACAGTGCCCAATTTTCGGGTGAACACGCAAACATACAAACACACAACTTCTGCTTTATATTACCATTATTACTTGAAATCGGGACATCTTTTCGAAGCCAAATCGGACACTTTTCAAATCAATCGGACACCATTCAAATCAAATCGGACAACTTTTCAAACCAAATCGGACAGTTTCAAATCAAATCGGACAGCTTTTCAAATCAAATCGCGACACCCCTTACAATAGACAGTTGATACTATCCCACACTAGATACTGCTGCAAGCCCCGCCCCAACACACCCGCCCTTTTTCAACGCGGTCACGGTTTTCCAAAATGTTTTATAAAATCTGCGTCTTTCGACTTTTTTTTTTTACTTTTGCTAGTTGCATACACAACTTCCAACTGAAAAGGCATTGGTACCGATGCAGATCTGACTCCGCCCACTTCACAATCATGTGAGTAAGCTCTAAATTTCTATAATTTTTTCGACTTCGTACTTATTCACATTCAATCTCCAAAAAACGAAAATAGGCATGCATTCACACACATAGTACACTAGGCCCCCGCCCCTCTGACTACACCCATTTCGTTTTCGCGGAATTTTGATTTTTCTTACCGAAATTTTCGTCTTTTTAAGGCTGTGATAAGCGGCCCGCCCACTAATGGAAGCTCCGCCCACTCTGTTAGAAGCCCGTCCCACTTTTAAAAAATGAATGGCAAATCGCGAGCTCAGTAACCGTACTAGAGCTTAATGGCTCTCGCCGCTCACCCAGAAAAAAGTTTCCTTTTTTGTGGTCCTTTTTCAATTCTTGCTGACCTGGTGTGGTCTCCGCCCACTCGGACTGATGGCACCGTCAACCAACATTTATGCAACCACAGTTCTCAGTGCGGCGACAACTCAACTTTTTCCGGTCTTGAAGTAATCTAGAACCGTTTTATAGAACTTTTGTCTGTCTGCCGCCCACCTCGGGCTCGGCCCCGTCCTACAAACATGTGTGCCCCACATTTCTCAATCGCGCGCCCTTTGATGACCATATAATCACGTTTTTTTCCGGTCCCTGGGTGCTCTGGAACTATTTTACAGATTTTGTCTAACCTCCGCCCAAGCCTCG